GAAGTCGTTAGAATTGTTCTGTTTACTGTCTTTATGGTTGTTGTAAAAGTCTATGACTACCCAAGTACGAAGAAACCGCTCAATATTTGAAAAATGCTACTGCTACTGCTTCTACTGCTAGTAAAGCCAATTTCTCTAATATAAATAGAAACTTTGCGAGACTCGTCACTCATAAGTTTTTTCTCTTACACCTTTAACCAGCTGCACGAATAACATCACAAATAAACCGGTAAGGTTTTCATAGGGATAAGGAAGAATCAGTGTGTGGGCGGAGGTATTAAAAATTCCCTCATAATAAAATTCTTTGTCTCACAAGTACTTCCAACATTAATCAAAACTGAATCCCTATGCAATATAATGGAAGCTATTACTCACTGCTCATACGAAACTCACACAAAATTGCTGCACTGTCTCTGATCTGAAGAAATTTTACCTAAGACGAAATCCAATTGAACCAACATCGGTAGTTGAGTCTGTTAGAAAGGAAACACGACACGGAAAATGAAATGGCAAGAAGACAAAAATGACCCGCAAAAATATGGAGTTCGGTGGATTTGCAAGCACCACAACCATTAATTGAGCATCTCTGAACGATTTCGCTAAATTAATTTGCATTTCCTAGTGACGTTATGTGCGTTATTGCAGTTACCTATCAATTGGATAAAGGTAATTTACTGCATTCTGCAAATACGAGTAGCAGCAGTATGTGACGTACGCTCGAGGGAATACTGTCTCTAATGTCAGTAGATCTAAAACTTGCAGTTCTCCAGTTCAACCTGTCGTCCCAGATGTTATTGACGGGCAGCATCCTGCATGAAAGAATTGTTTGCATAGTGCAATACGGTAGAATTTACTCCACTCCACTTACCATGAAGACCCATCATGAACCATGGTAAAGTTATTTTGAACCAATCACTCACTCCGCGGATTTATTTCCGATTGCATAGACTGCGCAGAAATTATACTTTGGATCAGATATTACTGGCAAAGTGACCGAAGACCTTGCTGGTTGTGAGTTTATGTCTGAAAGTAACTGCTGAGTTATGAAATATATTTATCAATGCCAAACGTCGATCGTTGTCTCCAACTTGAAACATGCGAGCGTTTTCAAGAGAACGGGCAAACTACACTGACTGTAGACAAACTGATTCGTATTGGAATACAGGAAACTGCAATGCAAGAAACACACTCTTTCGAAACTAGTGCTGTGACCGCTGGGAACCACAGCTCTCCTTGTACATAAGATATCCCGCACTGGCAGACAGCAGAAGGGACGTAGTAAGGTGCAAGTAGTCCTTGTATACTGGAGCAACGTATGCGACGCAATTATTTTGGCCAGGTTTAAAGCCAGTTACAAGAGACCTGACTTGACGGTAATTGGTTCTTATACCTCTGTCGATTCTGTAGTAGAGACAGTACTGGAAGAATTACATGCCACACTGCGTCTGATGCTGCGACAGTACCAAATCCGTGATATCTTGACTGCTGTGCGGGATTTCAATGCGAAAGCTGGAACAAAAAATGAACTGCTTAGATGCCTGGAATCAGAAGATATTGGCGAGATGAACGCAAACGGTGGACGACTGGCATATCTGTGTGAAATGCACGATCAACTTGTTGGCGGCACACGATTTGCTCACAAATCAGTATATAACATCGTACGATACTCGCCGATGGATCAACGAGAAATCGGATTGACCATAACCTCATTACCAGAAGTCGTCGAGCAAGCGTACAAGATGCCAGGTGCACAGAAGCGTTAAATACGGCAGCAACCATGCACATGTTAAAGTCAAGTTCCGATCCTTAATTAGCCGCCAAATATCCAACGCAAAGTCGATATGCTTAAATGCCCAGAAGTATATGAAGCATATCGAATTACAATTGTTGAAATATTTGTGCCACTTTTTGACTGTACAGGCGATATATTGGTAGCCAATCCTTAAAAGGCAAAAAGAGAGGCAAAAGCAGCAACTGAAACGAACGCAAGGAGGAAGAAAATCGAGAACAAAGTTTAGAGATTGAACGGCTGCAACAGAAGCACAGGCCCTCCAAGATTGATAGCATTGAAAATTTAAGAATCAAGGTACAAGGAAAATCTACAAACTATTAAGGAAAGATGAAGCACTGTTGTAGAAGATGCAAGTAGAGCTGATGGAAGACGGCTCGAAGAAGCGATATGAAGACCCTGGTCATGAAGATTCATTGTCATTTCGACAAGAAGAAGCGTCGACTAATCTACCATTACTAAAGAGGAGTATCCTATTGAAGTCTCTGGGATATGGGTAAAACGTTTTGAGTCGTTGATTAGCTCTGACGTGATTTTAAACAAGCTTCGTTGTACGATTTTATGCCTGAACAGAAAGTGGATGCCGATGCTGGACGCCCTTCGAACCTAACGGAAGTTACTGAAGCCTAGGATAAACTGGAAATGACAGAACTGCAGCAGCAGATGGAATGTAGTCGACGTCAAGAATAAATGGAATGCTGGAACTGACTAATCTCCTAAGAATGATATGGCACGTACGAGATCCATATGACTGCACAAAATATACTGTGGTTCCAGAATTTAAGAAGCGCAACAGCAAGGATCAAAACAACTTCAGTGGAATAAACATATACTCCGTACCTGCTAAAGTGTTTATATGGTCTACGGTGAACATGACAGTGCAACATCTTGAGCTCTTGAATGAAAAGCAGCATGGATTCAGCAGAAATGAATGGCGTGTGAACCAGAAATTTACAATCAGACAGTCAATGGACAAGTGAGGGATACAAATTTTTGCAATATTCGAGATTTCATTGAAGTGTAAATTAATCTGTAAGGATACCTCATGGAAAGTTGGTGAGCAACATGAAATTTCACCAAAGATTGATCGCGTAATAAAACAGGGCATGATATTTCATCAAGCGTAGTGTGATTTGATGACAAGTTTAGCAAATACTTTTGCTCAATGTACGAGGAAGGCAAGAATGAGTGGAATTTCCTCTTCTGTTCGAGATATTTTCCATCTGCTGCAACGAAACACACTATAGCGAATTCCTTGCACAATAGAACTATTACTCAACGGAAGAGTTTTTCACCTCGATCCCAACGCATTGTCTCTAAGATGCAACGCTGCATTAAATTTCTGTATCTCAACATAAGCAACATGGACTTTCTCTTCCGGCTCTGAGTCTTGTTTCGCTTTCATTTAAAAGTCACTTACTACGGATAATGGCATCACGCCAGAGATCAGAGACGTGTCATAATCTCTACAAAACATAATAACATTGGAAATGGCACCCTTCACGGAACTATATCTGAGACAGCATGTCAAAGGTTACAAACTTTCTATTCATTTCCTGGGTTTACCAGTTTTACTACAAGGTTCAGAGCTGTACACGCTAAATCAGTCTATACATTTCGTAATGGGATCTATTTTGATTTCGACTGTTACTATGATCATGTCACCGCAAGTTTGGCAGTACTACGAATAAAGAAGCTTCTGGCTCCATTACTTTTCTCTTCGTCAGACAAGTAGCTACCTCATACTTCGTCAGTGAGGTTGCTTCTAGTCACTTGTTTCATAAGGCTCATTTTCGTTCGATGCTCCATATAGAAAATAGTTGATCCCTAGCTAAAAGTCACAAGTCATCCATCAAATGAGAAAGCGTCCGAAAATACTTCACTAGATTTGCATGTGGCATAACCCTGTCGCAAACCGATAATGACACGGCGCAAACCCGGCAACTTAGCCCACATTTTCCGTCCTCTAAAATCATGACAAGTGACGTTCTCTAAAACACTGAACCGTCGAAATTTCACTAAAAATGCTACAGATCAGGTAGCCCGTTTTAGACGATAACTCTGTTGACCGCAAATCTTCTCTTTATATGCAGCAACTTAGCACGTAATCCACAAAAGTCATAATTCATAAAGACGGAAGACCTGACTTTTCCTGCAATTTTCTGTCGATATTTAAGGTTATTTCATCACTGAAGTGTAATTTATTGTAGAGGTGATCTCACGCTCAGACATGAAATGGAAAATCAGCCTGAACCCCTAATGGATGTACCAGAAAAGTGTATCGAAAAGCTGAGGAAAATGCGATGAAGGTTCTACCAACATGTTGGTAACTGATCTCATAAAAAATTTAATAATGGCATTCGATGGAATGGTCAGTGTCGATTACGAGTAAGTAGATGAGCCATATGCTGGCAAGTCACCTTCAATGACATTCTGTCGCGTTTGACTTAAGGCGCGATGCGCCGCGTTCTTGCAATACCGTGAGGATATGGTGAATTGGAGAGTATATGGAAGACAAAACGATGCCCCATGAATCATAAAAGGAGTGCTGTGAGCGGATTGCATTTTCTGACAGCAAAATACCTTTCTGTCTTTGCTCTGTTTCGATGCCATCTCCTCGAGTCTAGAAAACGGCGATGCATGCAGAGACGAACAGGTGTGCTAGATGTCTCACAAGTAAGACATTCGGTGGCTCACATCCAAAATCCGGGAAAATAAATCAATAACTGCATCCGCATTTCACATGCTGTAGTAGAGACAACATTCTTGCATGGCGTGATGACAGTAGTGTTCAGTGTAAATCTGAAACCTCACTTGAATTGAGTCTACAAGCTGTGGCTTCACAGTCATAGAATTTCAGTAATCGGCCAAATGTCCTCAAAAATCTTCACGCCAGGAATCTCTAGTAGAAACTGAATTAAGGAGCGAGTTTTCACTGTCTAACAAATTAGTAGAAAAAGTTCCACTGCTGTCTCGTTCAGGCTAAGGCCATCGCAATCGAAAGACGGTGAACGATACATTTTCTAGGAGAACAGCCACAAGACGGAATCAAGGAAGATTTACGACAGAAAGCGAATTTTTCGCTCGGAGATGCAAGAACCGATACACTAAGGCAGGTTGTCGAAGAGCTGCAAACCCAGCAGCCATCGATCGCAAGTCAGAAACGGCCCGACTGCTAAACATTATAATAACAGCAAACACACCAGAGTAAATGCGTGAACGCCAGAGGGTCAGTCAGCACTGCGTAAAGGCTGAAGTTTCTGTTGTTGCGCCGATTGCCGATTCTGTTTACAGAATTGTACATTCAGCTAGAACGACACCACGCACTCGAAGCAAGGAGTGGAATAGGTCAAACGGTGCGTGCGTGAGCGAGTTGTTCGATGAGGTTGCTCCTCACAAGAACGTGTTCGATCGTGCGCTGCTCGCTGAGAAGCGATTCAACGTCTTCTGCGCCTGCGCCGGTCACAAGGCATGTAACGACGTGTGATCGAGACGTGGAAGGAGGATCGACGAAACACAACTGATGTTCAGGTTTTCGAGTCTCCACAGTCTGTCGCCACAAACGCGACGATGTGGAAGTTCAATCGAAGTTCTGCGACTGTCTGTTCAACTGTTTATCGGATGACCGATGGACGAGTTTTCCAACTGTGGCGAAGAGAGCAGCATTCGATCGAAGTAATGCCGGCGATGTGCAGCCCGCTGTCCGGCAAAACGTACGCCCGCGGCTTCAGTGCAGAAGAAGACGAAACCCACGACGAGGACGAATAAATTCGCGAAACTCTGTATGATGTGCCGACACTAAAAGAGACTCACAGCATTGAATTTCAAGTGTGTATCGATGAATATTTAATTTACGAGGTGTAAGATGTCCAAAACGTTTGTCAAATTATCACACCATACTATTTAATTTAAATATGCAGACCGCAAATCTCCGTAAATTAATAAATTCTGAGATTTTTGGGATGAATAACGAAATTTCCAAGGCAAAAGTTTTTTCGGCCCCTTTGATGAGCTGACCATAAACGGGAATTTGAAGAAAGTCAGTTTAGGCAGCAGTTCTAGGAGAGACGACAGCGATGGCAAACGTTTACTTGTTATATTTACACGCGGCAAATAGCTGCTTTGACGGATCAAGTTTCAACTGGAGTTTTCAGCCCTCATCAGCCAAGTAATGAAACTAACCTATGTGTTTACTTTTATAAACTCAGCGGATCGATGTTCTGTCAATGAACTATGTCGGTGAGTTTTATTATTTTTCTGATGAAGACTGGAAACTCCCGCCGAAACTGGGTCTCATCAAAACAAAAATTTGTCATTCGTAAATATTTCAAGTAAAAGTCTCCCATCGTTATTCGTATCACGCACGATGCAAAATTTGTTGAATAGTGACTTAAACTGACATTCTTGGACTGAAATATAATTATGATTATGAATTATGATTATTCTAATAGTTTAATAAGCTAAGAAACAAACAGGTGTAATTGAAATGGCCAAATCACAAATCTACACAAATTTCGAAATCTTTGGGCATGTCTAACGAAAGCTTCAAGGCAAATTTCCTGCCTGTCTTGAAGTGACCGTAAGACGGACCGCTGATCCATTGTTCATGGCCGTGGGCGGTTGTGTTTCGATTTCGCTGCTTTACAACGTCCTGCGATGAGAGGTTTACACCCTCAGGTCGACTCAAACCATTCTGTCAAGAAATCTGACCTGCAGAATATCGT